GCCTCTCATTTCGTAGGATGCCTGTTGCTCAGTTTTCAGTTTTATATGTAATGTTAAGGGGAATTGTTTGTGTGTGTGTCTGTGTGAATTATTTTACCATGACCTTGTGTATTTATGCTCAACTTAAGGATTTTGAATGTCACCTGCTTTGGTGTTGCTAATTCCGATGTTATTATTCCTGTTTGACTGTTTAAATTTTGATGATGATAATTATGACGAGTGATTAAAGTTTAACATCAAGTGGCAAATATAACATGCTTATCAGGACAAGCATGTGATGTGAATAGGAACCCTGCTTTGAACTATTTAGTCGCATTATAACGTATTAGATTACAAGGTTGCATTCTACACTAAGATGTGTGACATGAACTGAGCACATAATTCTGACTCCATCCAATAATTTTTTTTCTTCATTCTCCTAAATGTAGCAGCGATGCAAATACCACTTGTCAGTCTTTGGTATGTTACGACCAGGAGTTCGACCCCACGAACTCCGCACCTAAGTCGAGCACGCCACATCGACGCAAACAAAGGGGTTCTAAAATTTTGATTGCGACCTTTATTGATAATAATTGATAATTAGGAAATGCATGGCAAACGCAGTGTTAAACGACAGTTTTTACTTTGGTTTAAATTTCGTTCAATAGGACTGAAACATGATATTGGGTAAGACAGCAACCAAACAACATAATCAAATAAAAAAAGAGGCATAGCGTTAAACGAATTGTCTTCTTTAATAGATAATAGTGTATACAATATCGCAAGCTCCGAGTTAAAACATATTCTTTTTCTGAATGCGCTTTTAATGTTATGAATAAATTAATTTTATTACAAAGAGGGAGAAAGTATAAATGATGGTAATCATAGAATCATACGTCAAATAAAGCCATGAAAAAAAATAATAGAGAAAAACAACGAATAGATAAACAACCGTCCCAAACATACACTACACGGAAAACTAAAAAATGAACGCTACCAACCCCAACAAAAATACATTGAAACAAATGGTAATGCATTACTTGAGGACTTATAGGTATGCAGTGTGAATATTTTTTTCTTTCTTACATTTGATTTCAAACACTACAGAAGATAAATTAGTTTTTCCGATGTACATCTTGTGATTCCGATCAAAACCCGTTGTTATGTAAATATTTGTTTCTATAGGCGATGAATCAACTGTACAATTTTAACATATTTTATTCATGCAATATGTCACATGATCAAATTGTATCGAATCAAAACTTCATATTCTGAGTTTGGCTATTGAGAACTAAACAGTTGCAATTGGTAGCAGCATATCAGTGAAAACTATGTTTTATTTCAAGACAGCATCAGTTTGTATATTTTTCACACAATTTACTGCATGTTTTAGTTTAAAATCTCAGATGTTCCACAAAGAAACGGAAACACGATTAGTTGGGGCATCGATGAAGACAATTAAAGTCAGTTCCGGAATCGAATGCGCCATGATTTGCACAAATGATAACAACTGCTGTTCCAGTACTTATAACACACACCTAGAACAGTGTTCATTATTTCTTGAATGCTGTCCTTACAAGGAATTTTCAAAGGAATCGCAAACTATAACGAAGATTTCAGGTAGGGCTTATAGGTATTCGTATTTGAATAGTTAGAGGTTTGATTTAATCTTTTTATTTTATTTTTATTTCTATTTTGTAAATCTAATTTCGTTTATTTGCAACATCAAATAATTTAAGCTAAAATGAGTATTTTTATCATCACAATAGATTTAAATTAAATGCAATACGTGGGGCTTGAGTCTCATTTTGTCATGAATAATACAGTGCCCCAACTTTTAAATTAAAAGGTTATAAATATGAAAATCAGAGATGGTTGTTTCAAAGAAAATCTCTGTATCAGGAGTTTGTATAAGTTTAGCCTGGATAATCTTATATCATAAAAACACTTTACATTTTTTCTGTATTTTGCGTTTTTCTATCTTTTCCTTGAATATGATAGATATGTTGAAATTCGAATGATTGACAAAATATTCTGCCCTTGCAGTTATTTCATCCCCAAACCAACTGCATGCCAGTGTATATCATGTACGATTAAATAAGAAATATTTTTACTTAGATATTTGTTCTTCCTTCTTTCACGTAACTACTTATTGAATGACTAATCTTATGCATTACTTACTATTGTGTATTCAATTTGGACTTTACTCGTCTTTGTAGGTTAACTTTGTCATAGTATTCCTCAAGTAATCAAGTATTATTATATCTTGTGTTTCTTGTTGTTTTATTTCAAGCGCTTATGATAAAATTAGATGCAGAAACGCACTCCAGATGCATCAAATATATAAAGTGTTCGTTTGATTTATATATGTAGCATTATTCAAATAATGAATCTTTATTTCTTCTGAATATCAATACTTTCACGAGGCACTAACGCTTTTAGTCATTGTCGTTCTAAATAAAGTTGATGCACTTTTAAGAAATCTTTCTTCTAAAGAATACAAAATATGCTTGAATATTTTTATTTTCAACAAAAACAAACTTGATACGAATTTTACTTTTTCTTTAGTGAATTGTCTTCTTCGTAGAATGTTGAAATTGTATATTTAATCAATACAACCAGACACTATACAATAAGTGTATAATGAGTAATAAAACTAATGATTACAAATATAATTACACTTAACATTCTACCACTTCTACAATTTAGAATAATTTTGATGTTTAAAAAATAGTTAAACTGAAAAATAAAAGATCAATATAATATATTTATTGATGAATTCTTATCTATTCCAAATGCAAGTTTACAAATGCGTTGAAAATCAAAAGTCATTTAAAAATGGATATGTACTGTTGTTAATTCTATTAATTTCAAAATTTAAATCAACAATCAACAACGCCTTTTTTTTTAATTCGATACAAATTTTTATTTAGAATATTGTAAATTGTTTCTAATGTGAAAATAAAATTGACTAATTGATTCAACATTTTTTCATTGATAACTATGCTATTTGGTACACGTAATTTTCAAGACTAGAATTTAAAAATCAACATAGACAAGAATTCAGAGTAACTCTGCATGCATACTTATATTCTGGCAGTCTTAAATTACGATCTTGACATATAATTCAGACACCTCTTTATTGTTGTAGACCGTGTGTTGCCCTTTATATGTCTCGTGGTTATATTTGTTGTTGGATTGCTGTCTCCTTGACCGATACACCACATCTCCTTTTATTGATAGCTATATTATAAGACACTGTTTTGGTGATACACAGAAATGTTGTTATAGTGTTAGAACTGCTATAATAGTGTTATTATTTCTAAATGTTTTGGTTTCCATCTTCTAAAAACAAGGAACAAAACACTTTGTTATTGATGTTATACGTCACTTTCAGCTACTTTGACTATATCAAGGTAGCAAATTTTTGTACAGGAAACCGGAATACCCGGAGCAGTTCGGAGACCTTTGACAATCCATGTCAATTAAAATAGGAGTTGAACACACCTCGCCACAAGCGGGACTCTTTAAACTCAACCGCAAAATTGAAAGGTTAGAAATCACTGTAGAAGAATCCCTTTGGCCTCTGAACGAAAAAATAAATGTGAGAGACAACAACAGCAACAAACACTGAGTTTTCGATTCCTTCAGCCGTGCTTCAATATGGTTCAAACTACCACATAATTAATAGCTTTTCCTATTTGTTATAATCTAAGGGTTTACTCCTCCACCGAAGGACTGTAGCGAGTTACCAGCTGAATCATGTAGTGGAGTGTATGTCATCCAGCCTGAAAACGGACCCAGCATGACTGTGTTCTGTGAAAATGAACACTGATAATGGAGGATGGACTGTAAGTTACAAGCTTCGAAATAATGGTTACGTCGTCTCTACTAAGCGCCTTTGTTTCGGAGTTTGTATATGCCATAACTTTCTATACAAAAATAGGACATATATCATATTAAGTAATTCCGGTATAAATTGCTTGAAGCATATACATAAAAAAAGTGTATAACTTCTGTCTAATTTAGATTTCATATTTATACAGTTAAATCATTTTAAAGTCTTTTTGAATAGTGCATTCATTAGTTTTCTAGACAATGACCAATTAAACTAAGTGCCTACTTTTCGTTATTGGTCATGATAGGCACCACTATATGTCTATTTGCAATTGGTGGACAAGCGATGCTTGTATAGCATAATATGCTAATATGCTTGACCTGTCAATGGTGGTAGCTTGGGAGTTAATGCGATTCGATATGGTTTTACTCCCGTCTTTGATTTAGACCTGGATTGATAAGCAAACTGTAATACCCTTTCATTTGTTCATAGAATCTGAAAAGGCCATACCAATTTAGTTTGATTCCGGTCATACCAGAAAGTTACTGTAATTTTGTTTTGGCAATACAAATGCGTATTAGATTGAAGCTCCACAGAACTTTAGGAAATAAAAAAAAATATCTTCATAAATTTTTACCACACTCTTTGCCTGGCCCTCTAACAAATACTCTAACTGTTTTTGTCATATATGATATTTATTTAAACAAAAACATCTTCCATACATTTGATTTTTAATAATTAAAATTTTGAAACATGATCTCTATGTATACAGAGCAATATTTTGCATTTATTTGCCACGAAATATTGCAAAAAACGGCATGCAAATGTCAAATAGGTCCCAAATTTAGATAAAAAGTAGAATTTCAATACCTTAACATTATATATTTTCTGAACCGTTGACATTTATCTATCAAAAATAAGGTTTTCTTGGCCTCTTTTTTTGTAAAATTGCATCAGAAAAAGGTGGAATAACTTTAAGACCTATATCGGGTAAGACCAAAACAAATCTAAAGTATATACCAAATTCTCAATCAATATCGATTCAGAGCATTACTCCATTAGGTACGATTCGTTGATTTAAATCAGTATATAAAATAATATCGGGGACGTTGATTTGTACAAAGCTACAATAGAAATATAGTGTTGTTTATATTTACACTAACATGACTAATGTATCTTATTAGACAGTCCAAAGAAGATATGATGGAACTGTTGATTTCTATAGGTTCTGGGATGATTACAAAACCGGATTCGGGAACATTGCTGGAGAGCATTGGCTTGGTAAGTTAATACAAGCAAAAACATTTTGTCATACAAGTCGGTCTAAGGTAGCTATTTAGTCATGTTTAACACACCATTTTCTTCGGAAAATACCTGTACTTAGTTGGGAATATGACAGTTGTTTACCATTTGTTCCGTTGGTTAATATAGTCTGAAATTTGATTTTGTCATTTTGTATGGACTTCTTCCTTTTTAAATTTACCTTGGAGTTCGAAATTTTTGTTGATACATTTTTCCTATCTTATAAGACGTATAGCCTTGCATCTAGTTAACCGTTACAGAATTGTTTTACTTTTTTTATTTTGATATTTGATATGTTAAATGAAACTTAAATAAATGTATTTCAAAACAAGTAAATAAAAGACACTTCGAAATAAAACAAAATTAAGCCATTGTTATGCTGACGTATGTTTTATTAGCATTTGATTGAATAACAAATAAAAATATGTCTTTACACTTTGTAAAGTGCAATTGAAAAAATAAATTAAGTTATAGTGTAAGTTAATTATTCGACTTTATTTATTGTTTTCTGGGTAAAACATGTCATTCGGGTCATTATATATGTAATCCGAAGTGCGCGGACAACATGAGCTAATATACAATAATCAAGGGTATGTAGTTAAGCCAAACTAATAACGTCACATGCATAACTTTAAAACACTGAAGAATCATTTATAAAAATCTCATACAACGTGGTTAGGATTTGATAAATAAACATATTTTGTAACTAGGAAATGACAATGGTGAATACTGGAAAAGACTTGTCCTACCTTTATAACAAGCGTTTTGAAGAAAAATGAATTAACACGATAAAATAATTCTCGACTGGAGTTTTATGCAATTTGAAGGTAAGTTCAGTTTAACAAATATTTTTACTTGCAAATATGCAAATATTCTACTCGTAATTATTAATGTTTACAGGGAATGATAATCTACATTTCATACTTCGACAAAGATCCTACCAAGTCCGATTTGACCTTGAAGATTTTGCAGAGAATACATCTTATGCTGTATACAGTACAATGTATGTTGGTGATGAGAGTGCTAACTATAAACTCAATCTGACCGGTTACTATGGAACAGCAGGTAATCATTATGTAAACAAATAATTAGCGCAAGATCGAGGCGCCTAGTTTAACTAGTTATCTCTTAACAATTGGTTATGGGTACCGCATAACAAAGAAATGCCGCTCTTGTATCACCCAGCTCATAGTTCATTTTTGACTAGATATACAATGTATATTGTACTTAAATTTGCCATTCTGTCAGTCTAGATTGACCTTAGATGGTAATAATTGTTCCGAAAAAGATATTTAAGTTTAAAGAGGGCAAACATTTTTATGAAATTAGGTTCCCAAAGTGTTGGGGCTAAGCGTACATGGTTAAAGTTATTTTAGAAACACGTGTAGTGAACAAAATCTCAGATTGATATCTTTTATCGTTTATATTGCGATCAGATCAATAAAATATTTTGAAACGTATGCCGATTTCCATAAATCAGTTAACCTTCTTAACAAATATTCGGAATATGGTATTAAATACACCTCTAACTGAAATCACATATTATATTCGGTCGCTATTTTTTTTTCAAATAGACTGAGAGCCAAGATATTATTTTGTGTTTCAATATATTGGTCAATTCAGAAGTGTTTGCATCTTTTTTTTAATTCTTGCCAAGATATAGCGGCAGGTTTGCTTTTGCAAAATATTACGATTTATATTCTAAAGTTTGATAGCACTATTTGTATAAAACATTTCCTGAAATCATAATTATCAATTTTGCATATTTGTCCATTTTTTTTGTTTCAAAAAATGATGTAGAATATGACAAGGGGACATCAAAAACTCATTAGTCGAAGAGAAACTGACAACAATAAGGGCAAAAAACAAACGACGTATCACATACCGACGGGTACGTTCCAGAGTTCATAACCACAATTCTGTTCTCTTTTCCTCGAATGCAATGTCACCGAATGAGACTAATCACCGAGTTTGTACATACATGAGCAACACGGTGGTTGCCAAATTTCATGCAGGATCTGCTTATCCTTCCAGAGCAGCTGATATCACCCCGATTTCTGGTGGGGTTCGTGTTGCTTAGGCTATAGTTTCGTTGTTGTGTTTAGCAGATTGTTTTTTTTTTCCTATCAGTCATTTTTTTGCTTTTTGTCATGGCGTTGTTAGTTCTTCGACTTGTGAGTTTGAATGTTCTTTCGGTATCTTCCACCTCTCCACAGACGAAGAAAAAACAAAGAAGTCCACAAAACATTTCATAGAAAACTTTAGACTGAGCAACACTAATCCCACCAAAAACTAGGGGTGATCTAAAGATCTTGCTTTACTTGTGACACCTGTCGTGCTTCTCGTGGCAAGTACAAATTTGGTGATAAATCTCATTCTTTAAATAATCTCACTTTCGAAATGATAAGTTCACGCAGTAATTTCTGTGCTTACGGCAACAAATGCATAGTTGTGAAACATAACTGCATGCCAAGTTCACCTTAGACTGTTAACATTCTTTAGTTTAGGATTTTTCCCTTTAATGATTTCAAAAATTTATAGTTCTGGCTTTCCGAAATGTTCATCCAAAGTGTACATGTTGCGTTTTTTCCTGAACACATAAGGGGTATCGCTTCGTTTCGCTAAGTCAATTGGTTTTCTGTAGTCTTTTGTACACTGATGTATGCCTTTTCGTCGCTTTTGTTTTAATGTCATGGTATTGTCAGATTTTCTTTGACGTTTGACCTCGATATTTTTCTAATTGTCCCTTTGTTGATAACTTCTGGCTCTTGTTATCAATATGTAATAATGGGAAGACATAAAATCCATTTTTTTGGGGAATGTCTTTTTCTTGTTCTTGCATTGATCTCCCAATGTTAATGTCCATTAATTTTAAATAGTTGATTCAGCACTTTCAACAAGAAACCAAATGATACAGAAGCCAAAATCTATAGGTAACCATACGGCCCTCAACAATGAGCAAAACCCATACCGCATAGTCATACATGTATGTTTTGTTTGGTGTAGATTGAGTGTCTTACGCCATCTTGGATTGTTGTTTTTTTTTAACAAAACATCTTTGAAAGATCAAAATGTTTTTAACATTGCCATATAAGCATATGACTCGGATATCCTTATTTTTATAAAGGAATGTGTAGGGAATTTAACTATTTTATTTTGTAGTACGAAATTGAGTCCAGTGACCTTTGGACAAAATTATATGGAATTTATCGATTAGATTTCAACCGATGATCTACCTTTAACAAAACGCATAAGTCGTTTGCATAAAATTACTTATATCTTCACTTAACTAAGGAACGCCTAATCGAAACTTTTTTTTTAGTAATCTAAACTTTAATCACATGAGGAGTCGGTAAATTTGGAATCTTATATCAAATAATCCAGCTTAGGAATGGCATATGTTAGTAAAATCTTAACTAAAAAAAAAACATTAAGCAATCATCTTTATGGGAGGAGGCATGCCTTTTTTTTTTAAGACAATATATTTTGAAACTATAACAAAACAGGTTAAAGATTTGTTTTTTTTTTTGTCAATATTTCATTATAAATTTTGATTCGAAATAAAAATGTTTTCATCACTTCCATTTTTCAACAATTAAAAAAGGGGTAGAATGAATTTTCCATGAATTCATTTTTCATCAGGAATATGTCAAAAGTCTGGTCAAGGTCTCCTTACGAATATTTTCGTTTACAGCAATATAGCACTGAATATTTAAGGATTTAGGAAAAAATAATTGAATACGGTAAGCGTTAAAGTATGTTATATAGACTCAAATTTTAGTATGTCTTAAAACCTTTCTGGTTTTGTCCCAAGTAGTGAAACTCATTCAGTGGGCATTTGTACCCTACTTCTTTAGAATTAAACTATTTAATTGAAAGCCCATGCCCCAACCCTGGAAAACAGGATTGTGCATGCATAAAGATTGCAATCGATTCCTTCATACATTTTGTACAAGCAATCGATACCAGGCTATGTATTTGAACAATATAACGTTCAATTGTATTTTTTATAAGCATGCACGAACAAAGGTATCTAACGAAAGATAAAAAGCATGAATCCCATGCGTGTAAAATAGTGAGCACTTTTCGGAATACACATAAGTGAGATTTAGACATAAGGGTAAGATGTAATTATGTAACTAGCATCTGTAATCTCTGATTTTGTTGATTATACATATTTTTTAGAAAATTAAAATGGTCGTTAATATTTAGCAATAAACAAACCAAATATTAATATTTTCTAACATGTTTTATTCCTATGTACTTATTAATTCATTATTACTATATAACATAGCTGGAATAGCTATGACAATTTGAAAATGTCAGGTCTTTTAGGGAGGGGGGCAGTTTTCCAAAGAAGGGGTTCAACTTTTCATGGCTAAGTAAAAAAAAACAAAAAATATTTTCTAACATGTTTTATCCCTACCAAATACTTATAAATGCATTAGTAACTATATAGCATAGCTGGGATAACCATGACATTTTAAAACTCTGAGGTCTTTAGGGGCGGGGGGTCAGTCTCCCATGCTAGGGAGTTCAATTTTCCGTGGCTGAGAATTTTTTTTTTTTTTCTAACATGTTTTATCATACCAAGTACTTATTAAGACTTTATCACTATATAACATAGCTGGAATAGCTATGTAATTTGAAAATCTGAGTGCTATAGGGGGAGGGGTTTCAGTTTTATAACATATCTGGTATAAGCTATGACAATTTTAAAAACTGAATTATATTGGGGGGGGGGGGGGGGGGTTCAGTTTTCCATCGTAGGGGTTTCAATTTTTCATGGCTGAGTAAAAATGTTTTACTAACATGTTTTATCCCTACCAAATATTTATCAATGTAATATTTATCAATGTATTATAACTATATAACATAGCTGGAATAGCTATAAAAATTTGAAAATCTGAGGTCTATATGGGGAGGGGGGTCAGTTTTCCATAGGTTTTATCTATTGTCCAAACTTAAGGGTACCTCCATAGAGGTAGGAGTTTCCTTAATTAAATGTTACTTGGAAAAATCTTAACTTAAGAATGGTTGCTCCTCTTTTTCAAAATAAAAGATTTTGAAAGACTGTTATAAATTGATAATATAATAAACGGAACTTAAAAAGCGAAAAAGATGAAAGGTCCGTGTCCTTGTTTTTGAGATATATTGAACTGGAATGATTCATTCTAGATTTTTCATATATTTTACATTGAAACCTTTTTTTTCTTAAAAAAACTATGAAAAAATTACAAAGATTTTATAAGATTTTGGCATTTTAAACTATATGTGATGAAATTATAAAACGAAAAGAAGGAGTTAGTGGGCAAATTTGTTTTGGCACTACATTGATAAAACTAGAGGATTATGAATATCTGACAAAAAGTCAAAAACAAGATTAGCTTTATCATGAAGTATATGCATATGGATTCTGCTTTTGTAACATATACATTTCTGTCAGTCTCATCTAAAGCAATCCTTAGAGCAACGTCAGGGGGAAAATTTCGATAAAAGTTTTGAATGTTGAATTTTGAAATCAAATGTTGAATGTTTAAAAATGAATGTTGAATGTTTAAAAATGAATGTTGAATGTTTAAAAATGAATGTTGAATGTTTAAAGTGTAAAAACGAATGTTGAATGTTCATAACGAATGTTGAATATTGAAATCGAACGTTGAAAGTTGAATGTTATAAATCGAATGTTGTTAATTGAATGTTGAAATCGAATATGGAATTATAAACATTGAAAAAATGTGTTGACTGTTAAATGGTGACTAATGAACCAACTTGCCAACCGTCTTCAACGTTTGTAATAAATTTGCATTTTCAAATATTGAGGCGTCGAGAATCACTGGAGAGACATTATTTGTCGAAATGCACATCTGGTTCTATAAAATTGGTACTTTTTGTGTTATTACGTTGACATTTGTTTTGAAAAAAAAGCACAATCTCTGTGCCTAATGACCGCCATTTCTGCTCAAAATGGTCACTCAATGTACTAAAGAGAGGAAATTAAAAGCTGAAATATAGGCAAGGTATCCAGCAGTCGTCAGACGCGAGATAACATGTAAATTACTAAACGTGTTTTTAAAGTAATAAAATGTTGACATTACCGTGACAGATAAGTCTAAAATCAGTAACAATTCTGTACCGACATAATAGTAAATAAACACACATGACACACTTTTAATTGGAAATACTATTATTTTTTTCAAAAACAAAGTTACATTTTTTTAATTTAAACTGGTTTCCGTCACTAAGATCATACATGTATTCATCTTGTCCAAAACATTTCCGGTTCATTGACCGATGTTCAACATTACGCTTAATATTGTTGTGTAATGTCTATCATGCTTTACAGGTGATGGAATGGTGTCCTTTAATGAATTCAGATCATCATTGAATGGTATGATGTTTAGTACTCGTGACAGGGACAACGATATAAGTACAGAATTGAATTGTGCTGTCACAAAGAAGAGTGGCTGGTGGCACGGTGAGTGTACTGCTGCCAACATCAACGGTGGTGTATACTCAAAACAATATTCAGATCCGTTAGTTCATTGGAGGACATGGATATACATTGGGCTAAAAAAGACAACTATGATGATTTAACCACAACAATAATGATGATCAAACCAAAGCCTGAATAAACACAACTTCCAATAGAATGATGTGACCCATACAATGTGTAGGTGTCTCAACTCACTAGTAGCATGATTTGTCGGTCATAAATCTTGAAGTACCAATATAAAAGTCTGATCTGCAATTTTACTAATTGTGTGCTTTTTTCCAAAACGTTGACAATTTGACTTGGGGTAGACTCACAGGGAGGGTGCATGAATTATGCATAGCAGGAGACGCTTATCCTTTCGACCCATTCGATCTCGCACATTTGGGATTTATGCGATTCCCTCTGTTTTTATTTTAATATTTTTGTTTTTGGTTCAAATACGACTAGACTGTTTATGGCTTCTTTACACTTAATCCGTTTCAAATGATCATGAACTGCTGATATTTTTATCTTGGAAAACATTATTTATTGATTGGTTGTAATTGGATAAAGTGGCTTTCAGTAACTTCAAATGCTCTTAGATCGGTTCTGTGTGTCATTTCTCTTTCTGTCAGTTGTTTTCTGTGATTTAGGCCGATCTGATGAGATTTGTTATGTTATTCTGCTACACCACTGTACAAGATAAGAGGCGAGTTCAGCGCTTCCAAACATGTTTAATACCGTTAGAATCTTTATTTGCGTACCCCAAGTCAGAAACCTATCTATCGATGGTTTTGTGCTGTCTGCCATATTTATTTTTCGCTTATTGTTTAAGCATAGAACAGGACATTGCTTTTCTTGTTTCATTTTTTAATATTTTGTCATGCCTGTGTGTGTTTTAGATTATTATACGGTATATGTGTTTGTTGAGGTCTTACAGTAACTTATAGCTGCTTTAACACCCTTGTTCTTTGGTTTCAGATAAACAGTTGTGTCTTTTTTATATAAAGTTGTATCTGTAATAGTACGTTCAGGCCAACAAAAAAATACGAGTCACGAAAAACTAGAATATCAAAATATTTATGATTTTGATACCAGAACATTAACCCTTAGAGTGCCACGGATTTTTTTTGTTACAATACCGTTGAGTGCCATGGGATAGGCCCTTGATTTGAAATTTGAATAAAAACGTCATAAAAGAAGCGTAACAATGCACAACGTCATGCAATTGTTTCCGTCTGGAAACAGTTCTGTTTCGCGTCAGTTAGATTTCTTTAGGTAATAGGTACGTCAATGGTCAATCTAAAGGATGTTTATGACATTTTGCAGGCAAATTGATCAAAGAGGGTCTAGATTGGGTCCCTCATTTACTTCATACATTTTCTGTATTTTTTTTTTAGGCCATTTTTCTCTATTCTTTCCTTTTTTGCCCATTATTCTCCAATCTGTAAACCCCCTCCCAGTCTCTCATCTAATAGAAGTTATTATTCAAAAAGTATGCAAGTATATTTAAACTTTTAGAGATAAAGGAATCAAAAAATTCTATAAAAAGAAGAACAAATATATATATATTAGAATGCACGTAAATATGGAAAACACTATTGAATAATTTATTTCTAAATTGACTTTTCTTAAAAACGTGTACTGCGAATTTTCTTTTTAAAATTTTATTTCAATGTCACTAAAATTTCCGTTATATGAATTTACAGAGGGCTACCGAATTCATTTTTGTTGTACGCATCCGCAAATTTACATGTTTTATCTAAAAACATGAGTTTGCCACAGCGTTTTCACTTTCTCTTTGAACTTATAAGTTTTGACTGTCCCTTTGGTATCTTCTGCATCTTTTTTTAAGTCAAAGTTGCTGAACTTTTTTTTTTTGAGATATTTACATGTTGTCTATACTTTGGTACCTCAGGTTTCCGGATATTTAATCTGCTAAACATATCGAAAAGTAAACAGGTACATATATTATTTTCGGATACTGATTGGTGTTTGCATGTTGCCTCCGACCTTGTGCATCTAATCAACATTTTATCTTGATGAATAAAATATTTACCTCTCGACATAATCAAGTAGTTAATCCATAATTTCACAAAAGTTTGTACAGTGGGTAGTCTTTTAATCATTTTCATTTAATGTTTAATTTTGCCGAATTTTTTGTCCGTTTTTTTTTAAATTTTATTTTTAAACGCTGGATGCCAATATTAAATTAGATTGACCGTTTCAATATTATGATAATTTTTTTTCAGTTTGAGCAAAAACCATTGCAGTCACAGTCGTCATTATTTTTGTTTGTCCCTCACGGTTGTCACACGTTTTTTCCAGTGTTTTGCAATAAGTATTCGTCATCTGCAATCGTTTGCGAAATATTTCAAATGATAACACATGAAAAGAAAAAAAAAATTGAACCCTGGTACAATGTATGCTTATATTTTAACAACCTATCAACCTAAGTATGAGTTGAAAAAAAGAATTGTTTGAAGTGTATTTGTTTGTTTGGTCATAACTTTGTCTTCTTTTGATTTTTTTGTTTTTGTTTTGTTTTATCCTGATTTTATCCTGTATATTTATATGTTTTTTTACAATTCAATTTGGTTGAACTATATAGGAAATTTCCTGACAAAAATAATATTTGTGTTTATATCATAGAAGAGGAAAAACGCTTCTTACAAATACAACCAAATAAACAAATAAACAATTTGGTTTCTATTGGTACCAAGTTGATTAAATTCCAGACAGAATTGGCCTCCCCCCCCCCCCCCCCCCCCCCCTCCTTTTTTTTAAAATTCGTTGTTTTTATAGAAAAAAAAAATGACAAAAACTGTAGGTGACGAATATTCATTGCATAGCACTGTAAACACTATCGGGGCATGATTTCGCTTCAATTTATCTTTGTGCTACTTTGTCTGTAAGTAAGTTTGTTTATGTGTTTAGCTGATGAGAGTATAACTTCATATGCAAATCAGTACGAGTATTTTTTTTAAAGTTACTAATGTTTATTTGAGTATTCCTCAACAAAATATAAACACTACATAACTGAACATAAAGAGTTTGATATACATGTACCAAGCTAACAGGTGCTCATGCTTGCCAAAAGGTGAAGTAACAGAGAAATTCTTCCAACATTTTTGTCAGTTTGTCGCTCAAATATTTTCGTCAACTCTAAAGAGAACAGTGAATAAAAAAAACTATTGACGACGAGTTTATATCTAGCATTCTTATTGGTCCCTCTGGTTGATATTGGATTGTGGTTCTTCTTCATCTTCTGGTGGCAAAACCCTAAATATTATGGAGTTGGAATAGAGTATGACGCCGGCCATCTCCCAAATCCCGCACTCTAGCATTATGACGTATTGTTTATTGTTACGTAACGTTAAAACTCCGTTGGCTTTTGGGCCTCACTCGTGGCACTCAAAGGTAGTATTTTTGAATAGGCCGGATAGGCCGTATGGCAGAGAAAAGATTAAGGTTTAGGAATTCGTATATAAATAAACATGCACTGATTTGATCAATTGGTTTTTTTTTATCATTATTTTTTTTTAAATGAGTGCTGAACTATTTGGTGAAGTTCATTTTACTAAGCTTTTGCTTATTGTATTGATTAATTTCAGTTGTGACATGTCGTTTAATGGAAATTTCTGAAGATTTCTATACAGTTGGAAAGCAAGTCCTTGGAAACGTCCGTTGTCAAGCTCTATCAGCAACAATAGCAGGGGGAATTAATTAGGTGGCGCTACAGTCGTCGGTGACGTCAAAAAGTCCGCGAAATAAATCGGCTAAAAAGTCGACGTTTAAACTATTTTTCCAACTTGTCAGGCTTTTATTATAATTGATTTTTAAAGTTTGTAGATTTTGTGAACAATATATTTTCAATACGACATTGAAACATTGTCGAAAATAACTTTTATTTGCTATAACTTTATCTTGTCCATTCTAAAAATTATCAGCCATCTTTTGTGTTCGCCAAAAACATCAAATTTATATAACTTGACGTTTGCGTATCCAAATACGGAATAGAACGTTAAAAATCTGAAATGAAACCGGGTAAACTATTTCAAATTTCTACACTATTATGAAGCCATCATTTTTTACTCTTATACAACAATTATAGTGACCACCAGTTATGTCAATTTGTAGCTGGTTTTGACTGATTTTCTAGTTCAAAACAGTGAATGTTCAGCTTCTTTTCATTGTACCTGTTTCCAAAGTACTCTAAAGTACTGATTTTGTTAGAGATATGAATGAAATTGTAATTAAGAATTGTTGTTTTTCGCATAATTTTTCGAGTAATACCTCGATTTCAAAGTGACTAAAACCCTTCTTGAACCCCTACACAAATTGACGGTGACATTGTTTTCTTTTTTCAACATACGTCATATAACGTTAACAAAATATGTGTCAGGGTCATGTGCATAGTGAAAATTTACACATTGAAAAAGTGAAACAAAGATCATCTTTATTGTGCTTGAAACTACGTCTTAGAAAATTTCTTTCATACTGGAAACAAATCTGACAAATCAATGAATGGACAAAAACACAAAAAAAATAGCAAGAGAAGATGCCTTGCAAAATTTCTGGAGGAAAAAATCATATGAAAAAGGAAATGAAGGTCAGTTAATTATACTTATAAGTTGAAAACCTTGCTTATGTGATTATCTCTGACTTTATCAAATAAGCTACAGTATTACTAGCTGTGCTTGCTAATCTAATAATTGAATTTTACAATAATAATTTTAAAATTCAAAATTAAGTCGCTTATAATTTTAAAGTAATCTGAAATGCCAAAATCATTTTTTTTAATTTACTGAAATAATCGGATATGAGTAGGCCTTTATCAATTAAAAATCGAAAATAATTTACTTTTTTGAAAGATTCGATGTTGTTTGGGAAAAAACGTCATTTCATTCTGTGTTAGACAAGGTTCTCATTACATAGAAAATAAATATGTATAACCAAATAAACCGTTAACTGCATTGTGTAAAGGCACATTTTTGGGGGCCCAATAAGGGGGCAATGCACACGCAACTTCTGTTTATGTTGAAAACCAAAATAAAAAAAATAAATACTTCTTTGTTTACAATACTTCAAATTATTCAGTAAAAAGTCATTTATTTACTATAAAATTAACAAAAAAGCTGAAGATTACTTTTTTCATACTAAAAACTATAAAGTATACATTTTTTCTCTATATTTTACAAGAATCACAATCTTTGAAAAGCTTTAATTTTTGTATACAAGGT